TGTGCACAGCGAGGGGAGCAAGTTCCAATGGATACTGGCACAGGGGAGGCAGTCCTGGAACTTACCTTGGAGAAGCTAAGGGCCAGTATGGAGTGGACTGGAGCCTTGGAGTGGAGCAGGGACTACTGTTGGACTGGGGTCTGGTGCGGGTGGTCAGATCATGTGCAGAGGCCCTGTGCTGAGCTGCTACAGTGTAATGTTTATTTGAAATTTTTTTAGCTCACTGTAATGTCAATCCTTTAATGATGTCTTTTTTCTAACTTATTTTTTTTAAACACTGTAAAGTAATGCAACCATTTTTTGTTCTCTGTTGTATCCAAGATTTGTACCTAGGTATTTGTACCTAAGATGGCACCATTAGAGGCAGCCATTATAAAAGTGTAAAAACGTGACAATGAAGGATGTTCTCTTCTGTTCTATTATGTGTCTGTGATCACTTTCAGACCAAAGATAGAGTCTGAAAATCTCTCTCAAGCCCTTATAGCTGAGAAACACACCTCAATCACAAAATACCATGTTCTATATCTGATAGTGCTCATGATTTGGATTGCACTGAACTGCACATCCATTTGATTGTTCATGAGAAAGCACTGCTACTATGACTGCAGCTGAAGCTCTGGCTGCTGTGGTAGTTGGAAAGGGCAGATAATACTGCACTGAGCCAGTTGTGGCTATCAGTATTAACCTTGATCCTCTGAAATGCATTCTCTCAATACAGATTTTGTTACCATCCTTGTGTCTTCATAAGATTTTGTCTCAAGAGCTCTGTAGTCATTGCTAATTCAAGCAAAGATTTTGTCTTCCCTAAAAATCTTTGTAAGAGATCCTGGCCTGAATGCACAGTGGCTTCATTTTTCTTAGGATCTGTTAGATCTTCACTGTTGACAATGTGTTGCAAGGATTGACTAGATATCTCAGAGAATTCACACTTGTCAATAAGGTGACCCCTTCTGCTTGTAAGGACTCCTTGATCATGCTCTTCAACCAATTCCTCATGCATCAATATGTCATCCATAAAACATGATTTTGTGAAGACCTTGTAAAATATTGGACATCGTCTGCTGAAAAATGTCTGAAGCTGAAGCAATACCAAATAGTAATCTGTTGAAACATAATCACCCAAAGAGAGTTATGAATGTACTGAACTAAGCAATCTTGTTTGCTTGACCAATGAGACCTGCCAGAATCCACTACTTGCATTCAATTTTATGAAAACCATATTTTTGGATAGTTTGACTTGTCTCTCATCAGCCACAGACATCAAGTCAATTTATCTTACTCCTGCTTTGGTGTGCTGTGTGAAGTCAGCATAAATTTAAATAATACCATAAGGCTTGGGTGCAAGAATCAGGTCCAAAAAACACTTGATTAGTTGTGTAAATAGGGAAATGACAGCCATTTTTGTCATTTCTGTAAGTTGCTTCTCAACTTCAGAGTCACAGAGTCATATAGCACGGAAACAGACCCTCAGTCCAACTCGTCCCTGTTCCAATTTGACCTAGTCCCATTTGTCAGCATTTGACCCATAACCCCTTTAAATCCTGAGCAGGTCTGGCAGCATCTGTAAATAAAAAAGTCAGCGTTAACGTTTTGGGTTCAGTGACCCATCCTCAGAACTGATGGTCACTGAGAAAACATTGGTTCAGAAATAGAAAATAGGGAGGGGGATGGGGTAGTGAGTAAAGGATAGAGCCAAAAGAGAGAGAAGAGCAGTTGGATAGACAAAGGATTTGATAACAATCTGGCCAGGAGGGTGAACAGCTGTTAATGGGGACTGTTAGTGACTACCAATAGGTAGTGTGAAAACAAGGCTTGGTGTGTGGGTTAGGGGGCAAGAACATAGGAGAGTTTAAATTCTAAAATTATTGAACTCGATATTGAGTCCGGAGGGCTGCAGCATCCCCAAGCGGAAAATGAGGTGTTGTTCTTCCAGCTTGCGTTAAGCTTCGCTGGAACATTGCAGCAAGCCAGAGACAGATGTTCGCCGGGGAGCAGGGTGGTGTGTTGAAGTGGCAGAACACTGATGCAAAGCAGTCATCCAGTCTATGCTTCATTTCCCCACGTAGAGGAGACCACATTGCGACCAGCAAATTCAGTAGACTAGATTCTAGGAAGTGCAGGTGAAGTGTTGCCTCACCTAGAAGGTATGTTTGGCCCCTTGGATACGGGGGAAGGAGGAGGTAAATCGGCAGGTGTTGCATCTTCACTGGTTACAGGGGAAGGTGTTGTGGGGCTGTGGAGGGGTGTTGGGGGTGAAGGAAGAGTGGACCAGGGTGTCCCAGAGGGAATGGTCCCTGCAGAAAGCGGACAAGGGGGTGTGGAGGGAAATATGTGCCTCTGTTCACCCTCCTAGCCAGTCTACAGACACATATTCCCCTCTCCTCTCCTCCCTCCCTTGTCCGCCTTCCACAGGGACGGTTCCTGCAACCAGCGAAGGTGCAACACCTGCCCATTTACCTCCTCCCTCCCCAGTATCCAAGGGCCCAAACATACCTTCTTGGTGAGGCAACACTTCACCTGCACTTCCTAGAATCTAGTCTACTGCATTTGCGGTCACATTATGGTCTCCTCTACATTACAAAATGTAGACTGGGTGACTGCTTCGCAGAATATCTACATTCTGCTCGCGAAAAAGTCCCTGAGCTTCCAGTTGCCTGCCACTTTAACACACTGCCCTGTTCCCTGGCCAACATCTCTGTCTCTGGCTTGCTGCAGTGTTCCAGCGAAGCTGAATGCAAGCTGGAAGAACAACACCTCACTTTCTGCTTGGGGACCCTGCAGCCCTCGGGACTCAATGTCAAATTTTTGGACCTAAACTGTCTTATGTCCAAGCCCCTTGCCCCACACACCAGGCCTTGTTTTCACACTACCATTACACACTACCTGTTGTTAATCATTAACAGCTATTCACCCTCCAAGGCAAATGGTTACCAACTCCTTTATCTATCCAGCTGCTCTTCTCTCTCTTCGGGCTCTATCCTTTATCCAATCGTTTACTCCCTACCCCATCCTCCTCCCTATTTTCTGCATATAAACCGACGTTTTCCCAGCTACCATCAGTTCTGAGGAAGGTTCACTGGACCCAAAACATTAACTCTGATTTTTTCTTCACAGATGCTGCCAGACCTGCTGTGCTTTACCAGCAACTTCTGTTTTTGTTCCTGATTTACAGCATCCACAGTTCTTTTGGTTTCCCTTTAAATCCTTCCTGTTCATATACCCATTCAGGTGCCTTTTAGTTGTAATTTTGTCCATCTGCACCACTTCCTCTATTCTTATGAACTTATGTTCTAATGAACTTAGTTCATTAAAGGATGCTGAATCTTTTGGATTTATAGAGACATCATGCATCATGCTGGATTCAGTATTGAGTTTCTCTAACCCTTTAAGTAATTTAGAATTATCCACTTCAAAGGATCTCCTTGGATTCTGTTTGACTGCTTCTGCTTTTCAAATAAGATTGAAAATAAGACATGCCTTCCTCTTCAAGAGTTAAAATTATTGATTGTGAAGTATGAATACATTTTCTGCTATTTAGTATCTCCTATATTTGGCACTTGCTTGTAGCATATCTTTAATATTTAAGTACTGTATCCCCAATCATTGTACTTGCACTATTGTCAATCGTAAATAGTGTTTTCTAAAACGTGGCTCACTATTGGATAACAATGTTATTTGCCCCATCGTTTAACTTGAAAACATGAGGTGACCATTGGCAATGATATATGCTTGTCTGAATGCAAGGTCTGGATCACCTCATTCCCCTTGGAACATTTTGGGTTTTTCTTCTGTTATAGATTAATCTACCTTATTAATCTCTGCATGGTTGGTTATTTGATTTCTTGCTTTTCTGAAACTATGTCCCACTTGCTGAAACATTTGTGTGACAGATAAAGCATTCATTTTTCACAGCTAGGCACCATCTGTACCTGTGAGGTTTCTTTGCACCACGGTGCTAACAAAGACTTATTGCTTCTGGTGCCTACCTTGCTTACTGTACTGGTGTCTTCGGTGTGATACTTGTGGTTTTATACTTCAAGAATGGTTTTCAATTTTTCTTTGTAGGGTGTGGATGCCACTGGCCAGGCCAGTATTTATTGTCATTCCCTCGTTGCCCTGGACTCTGCTCAGTAGACTATGCTGATCTCCTGCACAAAGTTTGGACTTCTCTCAAAACTGATCTGCGTTACTTCTCATCTCTGATTCATTCACTATCTGAGTGGCTTTCTCTAGAATCAGGTCTTCTTTGACCTGCAATAATCTGACAAAGACTCATCAGCAATTTCAACAACAACTCAGTCTCATGAATTCTGACTTGACATCACCATGGTCACATTTCTCCTTAACCTATCAAGATCGGTCTTGAAATCATCTGTAGACTCCCTGGATGCTGAACTTTTCTATTAAATCCTACTTCTTCATGAGTTTTATTCATTCTGAATTTGAAATAATTGTCAAAGATTTTCACTGCCTTTTCAAAAGTTTATGTTGCTTCTTTTACTCCATGGAACGATAACATCATCAGCTAAACTCCCAGTCAAGTGGGGAAGTATATTTACTTGTTCACCTTCTGATTTTGTATCTAATTTGGAAGCAATTGTGTAACGGAGAAATTGCTTTCTACAAAATGTGCAAATCTCTTATTGGCCCACCTCTAAGTATCGTCTTCCTGGCAATATTATTTCTGATGCCAAGTCTCCCTCATGTAATTAGATATGTTGCCTGTTTAAAATACTTTTATTTTACAGAAAAATAGTTCTGCTGCTGTTTGCCTGTCCTCCATGGTTAAAATGGAGGGTTCTCACCTTTATCGTGGCACCACTGAATGAATCACACTGTTGAGACCTTAAAAGTGATTCCTGCCTTTTTTTTTAAAATTGACCTATTTTTCCTCATCAACCTGTTCAGAGATGTTACTATACACCTCTGGACCAGATGGGACTTGAACGTGGGTCTCTCGGACCAGTGGTAGGGATGCTAACACTGCACCACAAAGGGCCCTAAAAATGGAACGCTTCACGAATTTGCTTGTCATCCTTGCAAAGGGGGCATGATAATCTGCTCTGTATTGTTCCACTTCTAATATATGTCATGCCAAAGTGAGCACATTCCTATCGTTTTCACAGTTTTATTGAATAACTTCGGCTTCCTGCAGTCTTAATAAAAACCATGTCCACTTTTTCAAAAGAAATCATTCATGAGATGTGGGCATCTCTAGCTAGGCCAGCAGCCAGCATTTATTGCTCATCCCTAATTGCCCAGAGGGTAGTCAACCACGTTGCTGTGGGCCTGGAATCACATGTAGGCCAGACCAGGTAAGGATGGCCTTCCTTAAAGGACATTAGTGAACTGATGGGTTTTTAACAACAATCGACAATAGATTTATGGCCATCATTAGACTTTTAATTCCAGATTCTTTATTGATTCTTTATTTGTCATGGGAGGATTTGAACCCATGTTCCCAGACCATGAGCGGAGTTTCTGGACTAACATTTCAGCGATAATACCATCAGGACATCATCTCCCCTTAATTACTGAATAACTCCCATTATTGCAGCTTCAAGCAATGAACCATTTCCTTCACAGATTTAACTGGATAATTCCTGCTTTCTGTGGTATTTGTTATGCTCCCTCTTTCTTCAGGTTTCACTGGGTGATTCTCACTTCTTGCAGTTCATTGTGATCCCACATGATTGAGCAGGATCTCCCACCATTTCTGCACCCTCAATTAACTCTCCAAAACTTTCTTTCCTCATTAAAACATGTCTGCTCAGGAATTTGATTGGCCCAACATTATCACTTTTGTTTTACTGGCTTTGTGACGTACCTGGATCTGTGACCTCTGATTAAAATTACTTTCATGGCCCTTTAGTTCTGTTTCTGTAACTGTACCTTATGGTGCCCAGTCCAGGGGCAGCAATACTCATTCAGAGCTCACCAACATTTTTTAACTTCTCACTTTTCCAGCCTGGAACACTGTGCCTTTTTAAAAGTTTCCCCTTGCTCACCAAGGATTTTAAATGATACTCACAGAGACTCTGATGAGCTCTGATTCAGCAATGTTCCCAGAAACGGCTGCCTTTGTAATACAGCCTGTATCTGTTTTGGGATAACTAATCCTCCTTCAGCAGGGAATCTAAACCATTCCTCTTACATTACACCTCTCACCATGTCCAAAATACTTTTACAGTTCAGTGGACTATACTTCCCTAGTTGAGTATTGCCAAAAGGGTTTCTTCTTTATGGTTCTGAAGTGTTCAGTTCTTCTCTCCTGCTAATTGTGCTGCATGAGCAGGTAGATTAAAGTTGAAAACGAAGATCTCACACTTTTTTGTGTGACCATGTCAGCTTATGACTATGAATTTCTCATGATGAATGTTGCTGTCATCATCATCTTAAGTGTACGAAACTATCGGGCCTGCCTCGTCTGATGTGGTATTTCCAAATCTAACCAGAAGAGTCTTGTGTATTGTAAAAGATATAGAGTAGAATCTAATCAGGCTCTGAGTGATGTAGGCTACCATGAGATGTGTGGCAGGATCAGGCATTATGTTCAATGAGGTCCATCTTGACACGGAGATTGTGCCTCAGTGCCTCAGAATCCTGTATACTTTTCTCAAGCAGGATGAGGAGATTCTCGTTTGGCACCAGGGAGTTCCCAACTGATGCTTACTGTGTGTCAATGCCTTGTTAAAAGTGCACTTTGCAATGGTTTGCGACCTTATCAAACTCACTACACAAACTAGGTGGCAGGAAAGCTTGAAGTGGAAACCAGAGTATGTTCTTGGCGGGGTCAATGCACTGCTTGCTCCATAAAGCCTCCAAGTGGACACCAAGCAGCAACACCTCCGGCAGTCTCCATTGACACCAGCCACTCACACCCCACATCTACAGACAATAGTATCCGACATATCTCAGCCTCTATGAACCCACGTGATATTTTTCCAATCCACTTACAGGATGCTTCTCCACTTCAAAGCTTCACCAGCAACTTTTATTGTCATGGTGCAGCAAAGACACTTCGTGCTCATGCATACAGCCAGCTCATGGACTGGACCAGGCTGCATCTGTTGGCTCATTAAGTACTATCGGAACGTTCTCTCATTCTGAGCCTACCTGGATGCTCTCGGTATCCTTGTCCTGTATTGTATTGCCTTGAAATTTTGTGCATTGCCCCTCAGCCAGTCAAGGGAGGTGGCCTTCACCCGGGAGATCCCAGTAAAGTAAGAGCAACCTCAGATATCAGTCCAAACTCTGCTCAGGGCAGTCAGTGCCCTGAGATCCTTTGCCCATAAGGAGTGAGGAGCTGAATGACGGGCAACACTTCACATGTCTTGGCTGTATCTGCCCTTCCATGTGATGTTTTGCTCTTTGAGTGAGAGAGAGAGAGAGACAGGCAATACAGGCAAGATGAAAGTATGTGGCACAGCTATTACTGTTGGTGTAGGTGGGGAGGTTTCCCAAGAGTGTGACAAGGCCACGCAGAGGGTGTACAAGGTTAGTGGTATATAGGTAATGGTGGGGGAGGGTCATTTGGGAAAATATTGCATGCATTAGCGACAGTGGTAGAGCTTGAGCCTTGGTGCGAGTGTGTCAAGTATCAGGAGACAAGAGTGTGAGGTATCAGAGAGAAGATGGTGACACTTAAGCCGTAAGAGTGGAGAGGGATTTTGACCTTCTTCTTATACTGCCGTGCATTCATCCAGGTGATTAAGACTACTCTAATCTGCTGGTTCTGAGGGAAGAGGAGATCCCTCCTGTGCTCCCAACTGTTCAGCAGGAATGCCTAGGAACATGCCCACAAAATGGGGCGCTGATTTGCCCCTGTCTGTCATGTCCATGCAGCGCAGCTCCAGACTCACAGCACTTATATTGGCGTGCAACAGCTATTTGAATATGGTGCATATGATTAGATTCTCTCTGACCTGCCACTTGTGCGGTCCCAACATCACTTGACTACTTGTCAGCCCAAACCTCGATATTCCCCAGGTCTTGCCCCACTGGACATGGCCTGCTTCAGTGTCTGTGATGTCATAAATGGTGCTAAACATCGTTCATTTGGCTGTGACCACTTTCTCTGTTCTCTGTTGGTTAATTAATCCTCAATGGAAGTTAACTTCATTTCCTGGTACCCCTTTATCCACTCTGCTTGTTACATTCTCAAAGAACACTGATAACTTAATCAAATATTATTTCCCTTTCCCAAAACCATGTTGACTGTACCTGATTGTATTGTGAATTGTCTAAATATCCTGCTGCCACCTGCTTAATATTGGATTCTAGTGTCTTCCTAATAACAGATGTTTAGTTAATTGGCCTAGAGTTTCCTTCTTTCGGCCTCCCTCCTTTCCTTAACCTGTGTTACATTTGCTGTTTTCTAATCCATTGAGACTGTGGCAGAATTTAGGCTCTTTTGGAAGATCACATCCAATGCATCCACTGTTCTGCAGCCACTTATTTAAGACAATCAAAGACCATCAGGACCAAGGGACTTGACATCAGTATTGTGTAGGGCATGAAACTGGCATTCCTCTCCCACACGCCCTCCCCCACCACATACAGTTTTAATAATGCCACTGTTTATGTCTGCCATTTTCTTGCACTTTTTTTTGTTGTGATCCAGAACTAATTTTATTTTACTCCAGTGTGACTCAACGATTAAGGATCAGGACATCAGAGGTAAGCAATCTCTTCAGAAGGGACAGAAATATAACTTGGAGGAAGATTAATCAGTTCAAACCTTTCGAATAAAGGGCCATAAACCTTCATGTTACGTCTTGTTAAAATAGCCATGATTCATTGTCACATGCTCATAAAATGCCAACAGCCATTTGCAAGCTAGTCAGTTGAACAAATAGCACTCCTGAAATGCTGGCTGCTTCATGCTGCACTTACACAAGCTACAAACTTCAACACCTTGCCTCAGTACACGCTCCATGCATCAGCTTGTGTCACGAGACGATCTACCTATCTCTGTTTGTTTTTGAATTCATGTGCAAATGAAACATCATGAAGATGGATGTGCCAGGAAGAGGAGGGTGGGTTTATGCCAGTTGAACAACCAAGAAAGAATATCTCCTGGAATACATCCGGATTGTATCAGCCACGTGACTGAATTCTTGTGTAAGGAATTGATGCACTGGCCTGTTGCAGTGAGAGAGTATGAGATGACCAACGTTCAGAATTCTCTAATTTTTTCAGGGTGTCAGAATACTATGTCAGGTAATATGATGAGGACACAATTCAAAATGGCAATCCAAGCCTGACTGAAGACTAGTCACAAGCTATGTGCTTAGCAAAAGACAACACACTACGGTTAGCACATAAATAATTCAGCAATTCGAATGTGAAACTCTTTCATCTTTCTTGAAATCAAAATTAACTTTCTCTGTTCCCGCAGCCTCCCCAGATTCAACTCATTTATAAATCTGCAATTTGTGTCCTACAGCAGCAACTTGCATTTGTTTAACACCAAACACAGACTGAGTGACTGCTTTGCAAAACACCTCCAGTCCACGCACAAGCATGATCCCAACCTTCCCCACAGCTGGTCATTTTAACACAGCGTCCTGCTCGCATTCCCACTTGTCTGTCCTCGGCATGCTGCACTGCTCCAGCGAATCACAATGCAAACTGGAGGACCAACATCTCATCTTCAGATTAGGCACCTTACAACTTTCTGGAATTAATATGGAGTTAAACACCTTCAAACTATGAACCCAAACCCATTCCTTCCCTTTCTTTTAGCTTTACTTGTTACATTCTCTGTCATTAAAGGGAGGCAATGGCCTAGTGGTATTATCACTGGACTGCTAATCCTCGGTAATGTTCTGGGGACCTGCATTTGAATCCCACCATAGTAGATGGTGGAATTTGAAATCAATAAATAACTGGAAATAACAGTCTAATGACAACTGTGAATCCATTGTCAATTGTCGGAAAAAAACATCTGGTTCAATAATGTCCTTTTGGGGAGGAAACTGCCAACCTTACCTGGTCTGGCCTACATGTGACTCCAGACCCACAGCAATGTGGTTGACTCTTAACTGCCCTCTAGGCAATTAGGGATGGGCAATAAATGCTGCCTAGCTAGCAATGCCCTCA